CCCGCCCCGGGGGCCCGGAGCCGCAGACTCCCGCCTCGCTCCCCGCCCTTGTCCCGGCGGGAGCGTGGCGAGCTGGTAGCAAAGCACGGCAGGCTCGGGGGGGCTGGAAGTGTGGCGGAGTGGGTGGGTGTGCGTTTCCTTCCTGCCCTTCAGCCCCTCTTCCCCTACTGCTGAGGCCGTCGGTGGTCGAAATGGACCGATAAAGAACATCCGAAGTTTTCTCGAGTTTGCCGAGAGGGTTCAAGGAGCCTCCCCGTAGTCTGTTGGAGTGGAGGGACCTATTACGGGACGCGTAGCTGTTCGGACCTCAGTTGAGCGTCAAGCCTGGTAGAGGGGTACGCTTCAGAGGCATGGAGGAGCGTCCAGCTTGGGCTTCTTCACGTCTTTTTTGTTTTTTTTTTTTTTTCCCCCCACATGCTTTCGTGGGACTTGTTTACAGAAGAGTTTGTGGGCTTTGTTTTGTTTTGTATTTAGTAATCGCTGTGCACGGACAAGAGAAATTCTGTTGCTGTTATTTAACCTTGTTTCCTGAGAGAGACCTATTTTCACAGTCTTAAGTGTCACCAAGATAATTCCCAGCAGGCCGGGCCCAGTTGCATAAGCAGACAGGCATGGAGGGGGACAGGTTGTGTAATGGCAGTGACATCATAGGTGGGTGTGGTTGAAGTTTTATAATATAGTGTTGAGAGAGGGTGCAAAGACGGGAGGTAGAGGCACGCTTTTAGACTATCCTATATTGACCGCAGGCAGTATGTCTGGTACCACGAACACTTGAGATACGATCAGTTTTTCAGAGTTTAGTCTTTGTAAAGGGACTCAAATTTGTGTGATCGATATACCTAGATGGATCCAGTGACAGATTCCTTTGTTGTGTTTATTCTACTATGGATTTTAACACCTGGTGACCTGTGGGGTTCCATTTTCATTTGTGCCATTTTATTGCTGTTCAGAAATTTAGGAATTAATACTTTTACAGATTAAGTGTATTACGTTTGTACAGTTGTCTGCAGCGGAGGGGGGAAAAAAAAGCTTGCATAAGTCGAATCCTTCCAATCTGTTCTGGGGAGATATGTTAGATCTAGTTCCAGAATAAACTGTTTTCAATGTAGGTGGGATTAAATCTCAGATATGTTTTATATGCGCTTTGGCAACCTAATTTAAAGAGGTTCAGTTGTGGCCTTCAATTCTATGTTATTTGCCAGGGTGTTTCCGAAATGTAGGGTATGGGATAGATGTGACCTAAGAAAGTGGCTGATCTATTTTAAATCTTGGAACTGTAAGAAGCAGACTTTTTTTCTTTGTATGTTTTGAAAGACAGCATTGACTCATACAAGTCACAAAGAAATGGAGTCAAAACTCAGTGGCCTTTGGGGTACAAACTGATGAATCCACTATTGATCACAAATGTTTACAGGGGTCCTGTTTCATGTTTCAAGATTGTTTTGAAAGAATAAAAGAGAAAATTAATTCTACAGACTCCAGTTAATGTTTCTTTTATGGATTTAGCAATACCATTTAGATATCTGTGGGGAAAGAATTTTGATTCCTTTTTTCGTGAAGCTACATCTTAAATTTTGGCTTTAAAATGGCTTTAAAATTTGAGAATAGTTGTCAGCTGTGATGCTTATCCACAATTTTATTATTCAAATTCAGTACATGTGCTAGAATTAAGTGCTAGAAGCTCAGTTTAAGGTCCTTTGTACAACTATTTCCTGTGTCTCCAGTCCTGAGAACTATCAATATTACAAGTATTCTGGTAAAGATACTAAAGAACTTCATGAATCGGAATGCAGACGTACATTAAATGTCAGTTTAGAGCTGTGGGCTCACAACTGCAAGTTGAAGGTGATTTCAGGCCAATAGAGAACTAATTAATAGCTGCTGGTACACTTTCTGTCTTCCTCCAGAACATGAATTCTTAAAAACACTTAGAGGTGGAAAAGATGTAGCATAAGAAATGTATTCATATTTAAAATTATTCATGTTCTGTTTCAGTTCAGAAACTGTTCACTACAGTTCACTGCTAGTTCATCTCTGTTTCTTTTTAATGCGAGAGTTAAAAAATTGTGATAAACATAAATCTGATGTCCTAAATAAGGCATTGGCACTAAACCTTTACTCAAATGGCATCTTTTCATAACTTTCTTACATTTCTTGAAACATCTGAAAGAGAAATATTTGCCATGGTGCAAAAGTGACTTTTGAAAAACATGAGGATTGTTAACATTCATATGGCTAATATATTCCTTGCAGGGGTTGAAATGAAATAGTTTACTTAAATAATAGTTTACTTAAAGGAAGTCTATTGGATTAAAGTCCAAGTGCAGCTTGTCTTTAATCAAGTATCCTGAAACACACAGCTAATAGGCTTGAGTTTGGTCTGAATCACAGACTCGTTCCTGCTGGAGTGGGCCTCAGGTGGTCTGTTGACCAATCAGTCTCCTGTTCAAAGCGGAATAAACACTGGGTTGAGAGCAGTTCACTTAAGGTTTTGTCCAGCTGGATCGTAAAAACCTACAAGGATGAAGATTGAAGCCACCAAAAGGTGGCTGGAAAGCTGCCTTTTGGAAAAGGACCTGGGGGTTCTGGTTGACAGCCAGCTGAACATGAGCCAGCAGTGTGCCCAGGCGGCCAAGAAGGCCAATGGCATCCTGGCCTGTATCAGAAATAGTGTGGCCAGCAGGAGTAGGGAAGTGATCGTGCCCCTGTACTTGGCACTGGTGAGGCCACACCTCGAATACTGTGTTCAGTTTTGGGCCCCTCACTACAAGAAGGACATTGAGGTGCTGGAGCGTGTCCAGAGAAGGGCAACGAGGCTGGTGAGGGGTCTGGAGAACAAGTCTTATGAGGAGCGGCTGAGGGAACTGGGGTTGTTTAGCCTGGAGAAAAGGAGGCTGAGGGGAGACCTCATCGCTCTCTACAACTACCTGAAAGGAGGTTGTAGCGAGGTGGGGGTCGGTCTCTTCTCCCAAGTAACAAGCGATAGGACGAGAGGAAATGGCCTCAAGTTGCGGCAGGGGAGGTTTAGATTGGATGTAAGGAAAAATTTCTTTACTGAAAGAGTGGTGAAACATTGGCACAGGCTGCCCAGGGAAGTGGTGGAGTCCCCATCCCTGGAGGTATTTAAAAGACGAGTAGATGAGGCACTTAGGGACATGGTTTAGTGGGCATGGTGGTGTTGGGTCGACGGTTGGACTCGATGATCTTAGAGGTCTTTTCCAACCTCTATGATTCTATGATTCTGTGATTCTAAGATTCCACAGCCTCTCTTAGGCAACCTGTTCAAAGGTTAGTTATCCTCATAGTGAAAAAATGTTCTCCTCATTTCAAGGCAGAACTGCCCTTGTTTCAGCTTATAACCATTGTCTCTTGTTTTCCCCCCATGCACTTCAGTAAAGAGTCTTCTAGGTAGCCTCCTCTTGGATTCTGGAAGGCTGTTGGGTTCTCCCAAGGCCTTCGGGAATCGTTTTCCACTAAACAAGCCCAGTTCTCTCATCCTCTTCTCATGGGTTGTGTGTTCCAACCCCTGATCGTTGGGGTGACCTTATAGTACTGTATTAATAAATACTGTGTCCTAAAGTTTTTCTGCATAGTGATGTCCATGTCTTCTTTTGAAGAATTTGGTATATTTTTAAGAACCATATAAAAAGCATACAGGATCAGACCAGAGATGGTCCATTTATTGGTATGCTTATGCTGACAGTAGCCAGGAGCAGATGCTTTGGAAGTAGTATAAAAAAAGAACTCATAATGAGTGGGTTTTTGTGTGTACACCTTTGTATACTTTCCTATTAATGTAATAATAACTGGTATGCACAGTTCTGCACTGAAAGTACTTGGTGTCTTTTTTATTAAAACCATTTGTCTTTGGGTATGCTAGAAGTGAGTGATTTCTGTATTTACAATATATTGGGTTACTGAAATTGAAAATTCAAGCACAAGTTGTGTTTCTGCTCTGTTTGGTCTTTGGTGTAAGAATTTGAAATAGTTTTGCATCCTTCCTTTAGGTGGCAAACATTAAAGTATGCTGAAACATCGCAAAACAATGTTTTCACAATTACAAAGCCTAGAAAATAAATTATGGTTGCAAAATTGGACATATAAATTTAGATCTTTTGGTCTTGCAAATGTTTAGACCCAATTTGTTTTATGTATTGATCATTCATTGGCAGTGTTTGTGTGTTCAGCAGCAGAGTTGGGGTCCTAGTTCCTTGATTTAGCCTTTTGTTTTGTACCAGTTCAATTGGAACCATGCTTTTCTCTTTGAAAAAGAAATGGACAAAATGTCCACCTGCTGTAGACTTGAAGTCACATTTTCATCTTCAAACTACCCCTCACCCTCTCCCCAGAAAGGAAGGCTCGGGAGTTCCTTAGGTTATCTTCTACGCTTGAAAGTCTGAAAAAGATGAGCTCCCTCTGACTATGTGTAAGTAGGCAGTTTATCAGCGAACAAAGACCTGCACTTACTGCTACCTCTGAAGAAAAGAATTTGGTTTGATACTAACTCTGCTGGACACCAAAGAGTCAAATACAGCAGAAAAAAAAGTCTGAAGAGTTTGATCTGAGCTCCCGCTTTACTAGGCTCTAAGTCACAAAACACAAAGCCACAGGAAAGCAGGCTTCAGTTCTTCTGCCTGCAGAATTACCTGTTTAAATTAGACAAAGACAATTTCCCAGACTTCCGTTAATACAAACATTTTATTATGTCTAAAATAAAATAAAACCCAAACAAACCAGGATTGGGAATATTTGTATTTGAAGGGAAACTGTCAGCTTGAAAGACAACACTTTCATTTCAGCTGTGAAATCTTCTGTCAGTTTTGATTTTCTTAACTCTTTCTTTTCCATTAAGGCCTTTTTACATGTAGCATTGTGTATCTAATTACAAAGCAATATGTTGGAATACATGGGAACATTGACTGGTCTGGCTTTTACATGTAAAACAAGCTAATGTGGAAATTATGAAAATTTAAACCAGGCATTTCGAATAGATTAAGAGAGAATATCAAATTGAAATGATCCCCTCCCAAGAAAATCTTGTTGAAACAAACTTAAAGAACTATTTAATTTTAGTATTGTTTACAGTAGACCAATGTTTCACTTGTTTATCTCATTCAATGAAAAACACAGGTGTGTATTAAAAAAAATTCAAGAACAAAGCAGTGTGCTGGCATTTTTTCCAAGCAATAGCTACAGTTAGTTGTGTTATGAAAACCACAGTTTTAGTGGCATGGAGATGGGTGTGCTTCCCATTTAGAGATTGTTTTACTAAAAGTAGAAAATGCTGTATGTTGGACATGAGAAATTGTCTTTACTGAACACATACTAATGTGAGAAGTTCCACTAGTACCGCTCCTTACAACAGGGCTGCCAGCTGGTGTTAAAGGCTTTCTGGTATTGGCTATCTCATTTTGGACCACATAGTGATAAAGCCTACTTCTGGTACTTACCAGACGGATACCATTGTGAAAGTGGCATCTGTATCTCCAGCCATAATTGGAAGGGGTTGGACATTATAAAAAAACAAATGACAGTCTAAAGAAAAACTTGAACGTTTGAAAGCAAACTTTGTAATACTTAGATTTTTTAATACAAGTGCGGTGAATTCCCAGTTTTCTGTGGTTTTGAATGGGTGTACTGTAAAGCTGAAGTCTACTTAGTCCTCGATTTTTGTTGTCACAGCAGTACTGAGCAATACTTTATTCTGTCAGCCTCAGTGTTAGATCTTTTAAAACATATTTTCCAGTTGCTGCAAGATACATTAGAGGGTGCAAAATTTGATCTTTAGCTTGAAAGACATGAGCCTGGAATTACTGCCACTTTTATTACCCAAACACAGGGGGTGGGGGAGAAGGTACTCCAGCAATTTTGAAAGTATGGCACAAAAAAGTGTGGTTATGACATATCACTATGAAAGCATATCTAATTAAAAAAACAAATTTCTGAATTATTAAAAATGTTACTTAATTTTTGTCTTCAGATTCCAGTGACTTGATGCTAAGAATTTACAGAGCTGAGTCACATGTTGGCCTCCAAGAATATAAAACAGCCATAGAAGCTCTAAATTTTGTTATTTCTAAAATGCCAAATTGGCCAGAGGTAAGTTGATATGAACTCTTCATTTTTCAAAATCTGTGTTTATCTGTAAAATTAATTAATTCTAAATTATGCTTACATCAAGTTAAGAACCTGGGTCAGTGACCTTAAACGTTATCTTGTAAGACATGCAAAATGCTAAAAGGTATCTTAAAATAGTTACTTATATGAGACAGGCTACTGATGAGTACAGCAGGTAAGAGTTGATTGATGAATCTACTTGGAACTGTTAATTTAGCCTTCATCAAAAACTTGAGGTATGTTTATTTCATATCACAACAAGAGATGGTGTCTTTGGACAAAAGGTTAAGTGCAGTAGAACTGACTTCTTGGGAAGTACTGTGAAGTGCTTTTGTGCTGTCTGTAGTTATTATTGATTATTTTATTTCTTTATAAGAACACAATTATGTGTTCTCTTAAGAGAAGTTATTAAATATTTACAAACTTAACTTCAGCTTAATGTTATTTGACTGGATGGTTGGCTGAAATTGTGCAGCCAGCTTTAATTGCTTGAAAGCAGAACTTCTGAGGCCTGTACGTTTCGTAGGTTGATGTAATTGAGTTTTAAAATTTCTTATGCTATGTACAAGTTAGTCCTTTTAAAGTTCTGCGCTTCCCTGAAGTGTTTATACTTTGATTTTATTTCCCAAAGTCAGAGCATTTTAAGCATTATCTGTTCCTTGAGAATATCACATGAGATTAGTGAGCACTGTTGCCATCAGGACTAGAATTCTTGGCTCTATGTTAAGTCAACATTTCTCTCATAGTTTTTGAGTATTGGTAAAACAGTTTGCTATATAAATAGGACAACACAGTTTGTGTTTCCAAATGCTACCAAAGAGTCAAAAAATACTTAGCACAAGCAATAAGTTCTTTTGCAATAGTATTGGCTAAAAAATGTAAGCATGTGTTTGGGGCCGTTTTTAGTGGCTCCAATACTTGGAGTTGGGATAGTTTATGGTGATGTAACCTGTAACAGCTGGGGTTTGGCATCTGTTTTGTTTATTTGTTAATTTTTATTAAGAGAAGGACACTTTGCTGTTTTAGCTTGGAAAGCTGTTCTTCGAAAAGCCCAGAGAAACTCAGTGGGAACTGAGCTTTGCAAATAGTGCAGGCAGCTGGGCAGTCACTGGCCTTCAGAACTGTAAGATACTGCATACTGCAGCACTGTCTAAACTGAGCACAGCAGGAGCAGCAAGATCTTGCCCCACAAGGGGAGATACCTGCTGCTGTCTTGGTCTCTCCTGTGTTCAGCAGTTCCATGGCTACTGCAAATTCAGAGAGCATCCTACTTTTTACCTCTCAGCATTGGTAGTACTGTCTACGTTTTTCTATATGTTTGGAAAGAAACCTCACTTCACTTAACTGAGCTTGGTTTGATGGATTCCTCTAACAATTCTTATCTCTGTAGGAAAACAAACTGTTTGTAAGAGGAGGATTAGCATACTTTCCTTCTTCAGGATACATCTTAATGAAATTGCCCAAATCCATCAAAGATGATGCATGCCCTCATCTGACAGCCTTGTTTAACACTCTACTGTTAATACTGGCAGTCGTTCCGTAGAAACTGCTCTCTGGGGTTTTTTGGTTTGTTTTTTGTTTTTAAATTCAGTTTTCTGGCTCATTATCCAAAATCTCGATGTTGTTGTTTTATCTAACTTTTTTTAGATAACTGTTGTTTTTATCTAACTTGTATTTATATTACTGCAAATGCAACTTTTTAAAATTGAGATAAGTTGGATAAGGGACTTCTTAGTTCCAACGTCATATAGGTAGGTTCAGCAAAATTCAGTAGTTTTTTCTCCCCCTTTTTTTTAGGGGGTTTTATTTTTTTTTCCTAGCTGCTGTCCAGCGTTTAAGGATAAAATATAGTTGGAGGAAGCAATTCCAAAAGTGCATTGTTTTGTGTTAAGAATATAGATTAAGGGATGTAAGGGATGCATGGTTGTGTGGATTGTTTTCTTTGTAGTTACCCTTCTCCTGCAGGCTGGAACTGTAAGGCTTTTAATGAAACAGAGGGCAAAAAGGGTATCCTGTAAGCTGTTGTATGAGGTTATGTAATAATTTGCACTGGACGTCCCCCTTCTTCCCCTCCAAAGGCTCACAGAAAGGGGAAGTTAAGGCTTTTTGTGAATTCAGCACTAGTCAGGTTTTTAACCCTTCATGTAAGCCAGAACAAATTAACTGGAAGGAGACTAACACCAGCCTATCCCATGACTCTTTTCAAACACTGTGGGGGATGTATGTTAGACAAGGCATATAGATCATCCACGCTGTGCACAGCTGAAGTTTGTTGAAGGGCTACATTCTTTTTGTCGTGAAGGGTTCTAATTCTAACTCTGTTGTAATGCCTGTAAGATGAATACTGCAGTTCTACGTGCTCTCTAGAAATGTCTTCATGATATCTGTTTTTCAGGTCTACTTCCGGAAAGGAAAAGTGCTGCAAGACTCTGGCTTTGTAGGTGATGCCTTACAACTGTTTCTACAGTGCTTAGCCCTTGATGAGGACTTTCTTCCAGCCAAGCTAGAAGTGGAAAGGGTAATTTTATTTATGAAACTGGATTACTATCTCTGACTTGGTTCCTTTATAAAGCTCCCCTTATGGTGGACTTTGAGCATCTAAAAATCTTAAATACATACAGAGAAGGTTCAGGTGGCAGATTGGTTCCTTGCAAGATATATCATACTATGTTGAAGAGAGTCCTAATGTACAAGTTTTAAGTACATGTTTCAAAGTACATATGCTTTTGAAGTTACTAAACGAAAATCTAGAAAACTGGAAAGCAGACAGCAAGTTAAATATTCGAAGTTGAACTCTTTCGTGCCCAGAGCACAACAGTTTTTCTTTGATAATAAAAATTTACATTGAAAAAGCTGCATGATAATGAATTGATAATGTCTAACTATGTTCGAAGAGCTCACTTGTAGTAGAAAAGATTTCTAGAAAATTTCTTTTTAGCAATATAGTTATGTAGGTTTCTGCTTGTTCTTAACTGTTCTTTCTCAGTTACTTCTTAAATAAAGCTCTATTATGAGGATATCTTCATATAGATTAAATTCTTATTTCTGGTATGTAGTTTTATGAAAAAGCACCTAGACATATCTTTATTATTATTATGAACATTTAGCTGTTTGTTTTCTAGACATTGTGTGATGTGCTGTCACCAGAGAAGTTAGGAGAGAGTCTGAAGGAATCTGCTTGGAATTCACCACATACTCGAAATAAACCTTTGATACTTGGTTCTGAGGTGACTGAGTCTTACTGCAACTTACAGCTTTGTCCTGAGCAGGTAACAAAAACTATAGGATAACTTTTCTCTTTGGCTGATACGCAAACATCAGATGTCCCGATATCTTTATTTATCTTACCTATTTTCCAGCCTAAATGCTGACTTTCTGTAATTGGCTAAATTGGAAGAAAAGAACTGTGATTTGGGAGTAATGTATTTTCATTTGGAGTGTTAGACTCCTTATTCCAGTGAACTACTTATTAGAAGGTACTGAGATTTGGTATTAGTGACTTCAAAATAGAGAGAAATACAGTTTTTCTTCTCTTTGAAGCAGATGAAGATTTTTAAATTGTTAACGCTAAGCAAATTTGAACACTGTCTTGACCTATCAAATTCCTCTAGTTAACTAATGAACTAACTGTGGGTATCAGTTTGGCTTATATATCTTTGCATGTTCACATCTTATATACTTAGATTTGTGTTCCTCTTTAAGTACAGTTCAGTTCATCTTACTATTGTAGAGTTTAGGAGGATCAGAGGTACTGGAGCCTGTCAGTGGAAGCTTAAATCGTGCACAGTCTGCCCATGCTCTTAACTCAACAAAAGACCTTGCCAAGGAAGATGGCTTAAAGAGAGTGTCTTCTGAACCCCTTCTCTCTGGCCAAGAAAAAGGTGCTTTGTTGAAAAGAAAGCTTTCCTTTTCAGAACAGGATACAGTTGTATCTGAAGATGGAAGAAACAAGCACAAAAAGCAAGGAGGTAAAAAGTCACTTACTTTGAAATTTAAAGTATTTACTGTCCCGTGCCTTTCTCTGAAGGAGTATTTTGTCTTGCTTTTCCTTAGGAAGTACAAAAAGGGACATGACACTGGCTTTTGGAACAATTCCAGGGGATTTGATTGATGTATCAGATTTTGAGTGCTCTCTATGTATGAGGTAAGATTTCCTCCTTGATGCAATATTTCCGTTATAGATGCTTGGCCACATATCTGTTACACATACAAACTGAGGTACTTACAGGTTGTGATGAGTTCTGATATCAGTCGATAATTTTCAGCCTTCCTCTATCCCTGCAGTTAAATGCTTATTTAAATGTGTCACTTGCTGTAGTGCTATATAATACAGCATTATTTTAATCAAGCTGCCTTTTAAATTAAACTTTGCGTTGTTAATTGATAACCTAAAAAGGATAGGATCTTCTGTGGTTAAATGTTAGGGCTTTTTTCAGTCAATAAAACTATTTAACTTAGTATTTTGGGAAGGCTAATGCTTAGAAGTATTGCCTGTGAACCTCATATTTGTCTACTAGATGTAGATACTTCAGAATGTTAGTCTACTTTAATGTAGCTGATGTATTTGAAAGCTCTTACTGAGTCGTCTTGGTTTTCAGAATAAATACCTTAAAACATATGATGTATACCAAACTGTCCATAGTTATGTTAGCAGTATTACATACTAGTATTAAAACAACTTAGCTCCTCAAAGAATTGCTTAATTTTGTGTATTCTGAATCTCTATGTAGTGAGACCAAAATCTTTGTATGTTGGGATAAATGTTTAGATATTTAGAGTGTTGAAATGTCTCCAGATTCATCAGAAAATACGAAAAATGAGTGATGCGGTAGTAAATGGAAACAAACTGCAGTATAGGGGGGAAAAAATAGAATAAGGAGACATGGGATTAATTTTCTCTGCTTTGTTATGGTATAACTAGTCTTAAAAATTAAAGAGGTTGATCACTGACTTTTTTAGCAAAACACACACTTGCCGTGGTATCTAACTTTTAATAACTTTGTTTCAGGCTATTCTTTGAGCCAGTGACAACCCCTTGTGGACATACTTTTTGCAAAGGTTGCTTGGAACGGTGTTTAGACCATGCTCCTCAGTGTCCACTCTGTAAGGAGAGTTTGAAAGAGGTACTGTTTCCTCAGTAGAGCTCACAAATACAAATATTGTGTCATCTTAAAGGCTGTTTCACTTAAACCCAACAACTTGGATTCACTTGGGTTATGGATTGCTGCTAGAAAGGAAAAACTTGAGACAAACTTTGTCAGTACAAGTTGATTAGGTTTGCCTCAGGGTCTTAGGGGTTTTATGTTTCTGTGACCATCTACTTTATTGGTGTAATTAAATTCTGAGTGTTTGTAAACTTTGGTAACTATTCAGTAAAACCTCTCTGATTTCTGTACGCTTTCCTTATTTGTATGGCTGTATAACCTGGGAAATCAATTCCGTCTCTGGTAAGCAGAGAAATACAAACTGAGTTAGACACTCAAGTTGCCAGACACTAAGAAATAAAATAGAGAATCTCATTTCCAAATAGTAGAGTAACATTAGGTGTTAAGTAATGAAACATAAGACCTTCAGAGCTGTAAGTTTTCATGGGTTTACATCTAATTCATTACACGTTTCATATATCATGGTTTTAAATAAAAGCTGCACTTTCTCAAGTCTTTTGTTAATACATATGAAAAGAAATATTAATTTTTTTTTTAAACTGCTTACAGTACCTTGCAAGCAGAAAATACAGCATCACAGAACTGCTGGAGGAATTAATAGTGAAATATTTGTCTGATGAATTATATGAGAGAAAAAGAATTCATGCTGAAGAAACAGCTGAACACTCAAAGTAAGCTTGCTATCTTTTATCTAGAAAACTTGAGAGATTAGTATGGAAATCCTTTTTAGAAATGTTTTATCATTTTTGTGATTATTAATAGTGGCATATAATGGATGCAAGAAGGAGTATAGATGCATGTTAATTTGGTGTCTTAAATGTGTATTTCGGAAAATTAACAGTTTTTTCACTACTGTGGAAATAAAAAAAAAATCACACTTTGATAGTAACAACGTGAGGCTCTTAAGTCCTCTACAAAATATGTTTGCCCTTCTGTTTCTCTTTCTGTGTGCACTGTCGTGGAGCTTCAGTTTTAGCTTAGCTGCTGTTAATGGAATTGTCCTCTTGAGTTGGCTGCAGAGTCTCAGATACCTGAATTTCTTTCAAAGCAGTTCATGATAGACATTAATTGCATAAAGATAGGTGTGATGAAAAGAAATTGTTGGGATTTTTTTGTAATCTTGATGTTTATCTCTAGTAGAGTTCTTCAGATATATAAAGCGTCATGTATTGTAGATACGAACGTCGGAAAACTTTTTAAAACTGTAGCTCATGCAACTTATGTAACAGAATCCATACATTAGAATTATGTTTTATAGTCTGAAAGGTATTAAAATTAAATACCTGGTAATGTTTTAACGCTAACTTGTTTGTATCAACTGTACATACTCGATAAAATAGCATGAAAAAAAAATTTTGTTTTTCAATTAGGCCTGCTGAGGCATATTGCAAGGTAAAAATTTATACCCTGGGTTGCATCTTGTGATCTGGAGTCCATCACTGAAAATAATCTAAATAGTGACCTAGCCACTATGTAGTTACTGCTACATCTTTTTAGTTCCAGGAAAACTGTGACTCTGAGGGCATAATGGCTTGTATGGCTCAAACTAAAACAAAAAGGAAAAAAATAACACCCCTGTCCCCAAAACAAAGCCCTTCATTCACTCACTAGATACTCACTAACTGGATAACTGTGAGGTTTACTGTCCAGTATGTGTTCAAATCAGTACATAGGTATTCAGTCACTGTTACTAGTATGTGGTTTTATTGTTTATGAAAGTTATTACAATGTGCTTATTATTAAACTTTGAAAAGAGTGCTTTATGACCTCAAATATAACAAACATACTGAAAAAAAATGTATTGTCTTGGCATAGTTCAGTGATGAGATTTTTTTTAAGCCACATATTTCTTTTGATGTTCTCTTGAAGCTTGACCAAGAATGTTCCAATATTTGTTTGCACTATGGCATATCCTACTGTGCCTTGCCCTCTACATGTGTTTGAGCCAAGATACCGACTAATGATTCGCAGAAGTATGGAAACTGGGACTAAACAGTTTGGGATGTGTATAAGTGATTCTCAAAATGGGTAGGTTTACATCCTAATTCTAAGCTTCTCATCTCTTAGTCTTTTTTAGTTACAAAAAGTGTCCTTTCAGAAGTGTGTAATTGCATTACTGGCAAGGTTTCTTTTCTAGTTTTGCAGATTATGGATGCATGCTGCAAATTAGGAACGTTCATTTTCTACCTGATGGACGGTCTGTTGTTGATACAGTTGGTGGAAAGAGATTTAGAGTTTTACGGAGAGGGATGAAAGATGGTTATTGCACTGCAGACATCGAATATTTGGAAGATGTTAAGGTATCCGGAATGCTGTATAAATACTTGATAGTATTAATATCTCAAGATTTTTGCTTGATTTGTTCTTGAGAGCTCTGTTTCAAATTTTTAGGTCTCTGTACCACTGGAAGATTTGGTGCCAACACGTGGAAGAAATGGAAGCTAGCTTAATTTTTTATTATTATAAAGCAACAAAGAAATACTGTGTTTTTTGTTTGAACAATAGTTTGAAGCACTAATTTTTTAAAATATCACAGGACTTCTTTACTATTCAGTCATTAGCAATCAAGGTTTAGGAGAATGCAAGAAATGTATCTAAATACAGTTGAAATTGAATGTTTTTTGATTTTTAGCTTAAACACCTTAATTGTTTATCTCTAACGATATTTTCATAACATTCTTCCTATAGGTTGCTGATGAAGAAGAACTAAAGAAACTGAGAGAACTTCACAATTTTGTTTACAATCAGGCCTGCAGTTGGTTCCAAAACTTAAGAAACAAATTTCGCACTCAAATTCTTCAGCACTTCGGACCAATGCCTGGCAGGGAGGAAAATATACAGGTAAGACATCATTCCATATCAATTATTAGGTGCTTATTTCTAAAATTTCTAAAAATAAAAACCCTGTTAACAACTGCTAAACATTAAAAGAAAAGACTTTTTTCCCAACTTTGAAGGCGTAAGGCTTGCATCTTGTTTCTCTTATGATGAGCAACAAAAGGCAGTTCTGTCACTGTTCAACGGTTTTTGCAGGAAAGGATGATATGCTGCTGTGGAGATAAAACTAGTAAACTGAGAACACTTTAAGTTCCAGTAGCATTTTAAACTGTTGGTTTGTGTAAAGCTGTTAGAATTCAAATGGGGAAAAAAAAATTATTTCCTCCCCTGTGACACGTGCAGGTAGTAATCTTTGGCAAAGAGGTAATCAATCACAAATAACATTTTCCTCCTTTCTGAACTAGTGTCACAAACTGCTGCAGCTGCTAGGATTTGACAAATGTTTCTTAAGAAACGAACTGCAGCAATCTATTGTAATGGTTATTATAAACAATTAATGAAGGTTGGTGAGATCCTGAAAGAGTGGAGGCTGGAGAAAAGTAACATTTAAAAATATGTAAAATTTGGCTTTCAAAGTGGAATTATGTGTGAAGTGGGATCTTATGAGACCCTGTCCCTCACCCATCTGCTACGTACTTTTATGAGACTATAATAACTGATCTGGGAGGACTGTAGATGCTGTGGAGGCCAGTGCATGAATTCAGAAGTGATTTTAGAACACTTTAATAAAAAAACAGATTTAAAACAACATACTAGGAAAGAGGAATAAGTGTGCAAAACCAGGATAACTAGCAGGGCAGCAATACTGTGGGTGTGTACCTGAGATTTATAATAGAACACAAATGTGTCAACTGTGTGATACAGATGCAAGGGAGGAAATGTCATCCTGGACTGTACCACTACCAGTAATATTTTTGCAAGTCATTTGAAGTAATTAATCTTCTCTGCAGTGATAGGACCTCTGCTGAGGAGTATTATGTCCAGTTCTGGGCATGACATCTAAGGCTTGGTGCAGAGAATTGAATAAAGTACAGGAAGAAGTTACATAGTATGTTTTATCAACTTAGAAGAAACTGATTAAGTAGTCCTGCTCTGTCTAGGAGGTAATGAGAAGGGAGTGGAATCGGGAGGTGATAGAGGAGTCCTTCAAATATAACAAAGACAATTGTAATGAAAATGTTAGGCTTCAAGAATATTCAAGCCTCAAGAATAGCATGACAGGTAATGGATTTAGTTTTTATTGGGGAGGTTTGTTATTAGGTGACTGTCCTAGCCTTAGCCATCTTTTCCCAAGCAAGCTATGAGCTTCCTTTGTTGTCTTAAAAATAATTGCTTTATCAAGCTTAGTTTAAGTGTACTTTATTTGACTTCTCAGTTGGGGAGGGATCAGAAGAGATCCCTTCAGCACCCTTCTGATCTCATGGATCTGGAATTCTCTAGTTAGTATCAAACTTTAATTTGTCATTGACGACTTTGTCTTTTGGTGTCTTCATGTTAGTCAACTGTACTACACTGGTTATGGGTAACCAACTTGTCTTTTATTTTTAGGCAATGCCCAATGGTCCTGCTTGGTGTTGGTGGCTTCTAGCTGTTCTCCCAGTAGACCCCAGATATCAGCTGTCAGTTCTCTCCATGATGTCTTTAAAAGACCGTCTGATAAAAATCCAACATATACTCACATATTTTTCTAGAGACCAGTCCAAGTGACTAACCGCCTGGGTCTTCCTGAAAAGTTACTCTGTTCTGGTTGTAGTAGCAGCTGGAATTTTTGCTGCCTTTGCACATCTAGCGCTGGTTTGAGAAGTGTAATGGAACTGCTTTTTCTCTCTGCTCCCCACCCTCCCGACTTCCTGAACCATGCGGTTCTTTGAATGCACACTTTCCTCAACTATGAGAGAAGACCACTGATGATTGCACAGCGTCAATCCAGCTAGATATGTTTTTCACGTTATCTACATTACAATTTGCACTATGTAGAAGAGAACCTTTTTGAGACTTGATAATTTTAGCCACTGACTTTTTAAAGCTGTGGGAAGTGCAGGACTTAAGGCTGACAGTCCAAGTTTACAACATTGAGGAGGTATTAAAGGTTTTGCAAATGTTTGCCTCATACAACTGTTCTTTTGCTGTTTGCACAAATATTTGAAATATAGTATTGAATGTCACTGTTGGATATTACTACTCTTGTTGAAATTATCTTGACCATGAATATGGCACAGATTTTTAAGTTATCTTGTAAATGTATGCATCACAAAACAGGTGACATTATGAACTGTATGCTGAACTGAGAGCCATTTTTAAGGAACGAATGCAAAAAAAAAAAAAGGTACTTCTGTCTAAAAACACTTAAACTGTGAATATGGTTTACATACCTAGGCCTGTACATGTTAAAGAGGAAAATGAAAACTAAATGCTAGTACCAGTTACGTCTCTACTGGGCTTTTCAGGCTGGCTGTTCTTCCAGAGCACACACTTAGTTTATAGAGCTTAGAAGAAGAAATCTTAGAGTGTGCGCGTGTGTGTGTATTGGGGATTGTGCATCCCGGATTTAAAAGCTTAAAAGTTTTATTTGAACTTTTTAAGTTGGTGCAAATGTGAGTTCTATGCCTTATTCATATCAATAGTAGAGCACACTGCAGTGGCAAGGTTAGCATCATGCTGCCAATAGGTACTTTTTGTAATTAAAGGTTTGCATATTTGTGAATATGTCTGATACTGGCTTTCTTGTATGTAAATCATTTGTAAAATATTTCTTAAATCTTGCTTTTGCTAATATATTTAATTTTCAATAAAAGCTAAAAGTTTGTAATATTTTTAACTTTATCAGAAACTAAAAACCACTTTCATTTTCCATATGCTTCTATTCTGGGATCTTAAGTACGTCCAGAAGCAGCTGTTTAACCTACATCAGGGTTGTGGGCACTTCATGACGTAATTGGTACGTACATAATTGTTTCTGATTATAGTACCTGTCTCAGACTGATTATCGGTCAGACAAGTTTTTTGCTGGTGTCCTGCTTTTTTATCTACTTTGTTTAAATGAAGGTGGTTTCAGGTATGAAGTTTGCGTTTCACAAAACTTAAACGTTGTGGGAAACTGTTCTTGCAGAACAGTTAGGTATTTCACAGACTTGCTAATCAGATGCTCTGGCCTTGTTCTTTTCTGGAGTTCAAGGCCCGAGATATTACAGGCAACCTGAAATCTGATGGATCATTTTTAATGTGGGCTTCTATCTACGGTAAATTTCCCCTTTATTGTATGAATAAAGTCCTGGATCAATATTTGGAAAGCTTTATTTGCATAATAAAAGAAGAAAGGAGATCCTCTATTTCTCCACTTCAGTATGTTTTAACTTTAGAAACTTAATCTTTGTATCACCACGATCTTCTTAAGAATGCAGGTGACAGGATTTTTTTTTTCTTGACAGCGAAAAGTCCCTGTAGCCAGGCTTGAAATACCCAAATAATCTAGCAGCAATTATTTTTTTCTTCCTTGCCGAGAGCTTTAATTTTGAAATTGAGTATTCCCCAGTCTGCTGGAAGGTGTGGCTTCTAGGTGTTTCTTTATAATTTCCCATGAGTTTTTAATACAACAAAAATTCAGATAAAGTGTCAGTTGGCTTGCACTGTCCTGTGCATATGTAAGTTCTACTTCTGGAATTGTAAACCATGTAAGAGAAAACTTTATTAAAAAGAAACAGCAACAACAAAAAAAGCAAAATTACTGTGATTAACACATGCTGCATTAAGACTGATAGTAAGTACTACTCTTCAGGAACTATTCTACACACGATCATTGTAGGTGCTGTTGGGAATGATTGAAATTGAGAATGGGGAGGAAAGATTTTTAAGAGGATTTTTAAGTTGGAATTTTTTCAAGTGGTTGGTTGTGAACCAGATTTTGTCACTTTGTGCAGTTAGAATGGGGCAGAACAACAAGCTCACCTGAATGTTGGCATAGACCTTTCAGTAAATATCTTGAAGAGAGATACCATGCTGTACTTTGTTGATAGTGTTTTGAATTTGGGGAGTACTTCCTTATTGATTATCTTTTTAATTCCCCCCTGCCATGTCATACAGCAAGGGTTCTTTAGCTATCGAATGATAAAACAGCAACAGGCTAAGGACCAAGTTTGATCAACTTACATTTATTATAATAAAGTTGACAATTGATGTAATTAAGCCTGAGCGGAATGCGAGCAATCTAGGCAGGAGCGAAAGGGAAAAGGGGAAAGCTTACTTGCTGTGTAGGCAAGGTACAACACTGTTAATGATTAGTCTTACCCGATGATGAGCAACAGTCAGGGAAATTGTCCTTATGTCGTGACAGAGGAGGTTGACGTCTCCTTTGCCGGGCAGCACCCCTGGACCAGCCAATGAGAGCTACCCCAAGTTGGTGTTAGGGCACCTCATTTATGGGATTGTGCCTTCCCTGTTCAACTGTGTGATTGACAAGTTGATGTAGACGTGTTCTTTACGTAAGTGTGAGAACAAAACGAGATGTGCCTCGAAAGATTGGTGATCTGTAAATAGCTATACAATAAACTGGATGTGAGTGTACGTTAATATGAGAAAGGCCATAAACTTCACTGTACTGAGAAGTATCTGCCCAGAACTGATGTATTTTTCAAATCTTTCTGGCAAGGACCTCTTCCCAATTTTGCTAAATTGTGGCCAGAGATCTCACTGAAATTCTTAATTCATGATTAATATTCACTTCTAGTCTCTTTACCTTAAATTACTCTTACCAAACAATTTCTTGTAACAACTCGGTGCCCTGGGTGAGAACCAATGAACTTTAGGTTCAGAAACTTCAGTTTTCTCTGTGTGAAATGGCAACTTTGTGTTTTTCCATCTAACTTGATTTTTCTTTTGGAAATTGGCAAATACACAAACTTCTTCACATTCTAGCAAATCGTTTCTCTGTGGGCCTATTACTGGTCCTAAGTTTCTTTAAGGACAATATGCAAAGATGGCTGTAAGATACGTTGGTGGGGGTGGCTATGAAACTTGAAGTGATGCCAGAACTTTACGAGGGAGAAATGTTTGCTCTGAACCCCATGAAAGACTAGGCCAGATTCAAACATTGCTAGCGGCTTTACAAGACTTGGAAGGACAGTATGCTCATCCTTTTGGTTTTATAAATCATCTAACCCACTCCTTTGAGCTGGTCTGTCCCAGCGTGTGTGGGGTGGGGTAAATACCTGCTAAATACTGAAATTTTACTATAGCCTCATTTGCATCGATTACAAGTGAGACAGGGTAGAGTTGATCTGCATAACTGAGTCTCCTGAACGACAGCACAAGGGAGACTTGCAGTGCAAGGCACTGCTCACTTGACTTTATCAGTTGGGGCAGGGACAGTTCCCAGAGAGAATGGTTGAAACTTTGGCTTTGAGCAGGTCTTCAAGGAGCAGTAGACAAACCACAACTGCCTGGCCTGCGCCTGACCAAGTCTGAGATGTTGCTCTTTCAGTACTGCCTTTGACTGTAGAAACCTGGCTATCTACAACTGGGTTTCCAGTGGGAAGGTTGTTGCAGTTAGTGCGTAGACATGAGATACCTGTTTAAGGATTATCGTATCCATGCCGCTTGGTATCACACTGAAATCTGTCCGTTAGCCTCTCATTTATGTGCTTTTCTACAATTTAAAAAAAAAAAAAGAGCTGTAAAACGTTTAATGCTAGGATGTAAGTTATTCTAAAGTCTCGACCAAAACAAAGTAAAAGAGACTCCACTGAGTTTTGAGCCTTGATTTTGGTGAAGTTTTACTTTCCTGGATGCTCATGACTGCGACTGCTTTTACAAGCAAAGGCCAATAGCAGGATTTCACCATGGATTTAAAAATGTAATTGCACTAGTGATAGTACAAGCGATGTAGCTCAAATGCAGTCAGGAGCGCCTGTGAGCATGTGGCAGGCTCTCTAAGGACAAAAAGTTCTGAATGTTGGAGAGAAAGAAGTTGGTAAAGAAGTCTTTATACTTCTAGTTGAGGGGTTTTGTTTTGTTTGGTAAGTCAGATGGAAGAATGTCCTATACTGGAAATAACTTCTAAAGCAGACTGAATATGAACCTGTACTAGCTAGGAAGCTGGCCATTTACCAGATGTTTAAGTGTGTTAGAAAAGGGAAATGATGTAATGGGAAACTGGGGACAGGGAGCTGTGCTGTATCAAGACAAATACAGTCACTTTCCAATCCCAATAGAAATTCTCTGGAGCTTGGCATCTTAAACTACCTAATTATATCACCTATTTGTGTGCGTGTTGGTTCCTTGCGTTCAAGAGCTTTCTGGTCTGTCAGCTAGGAATGCTGCTTTTTATCGGCATAAAGAGCTTATACAAGGCGCTTGGCCAAGTGGGCTAGCTTCTCCCTGATGCTGCTCTGAGGTGGTGGTGGTTGTTTTGGGGTTTTCTTTTTTTCCCTTTGTTCCTTTTTTTTTGTTTGTTCTATTTCTTTTTGGTTTTCCCTCTTGCATCAGACCTTACTTAGTTCTGTCTGAGGGCTACTTGTTGGGGCTGCCACAGCCCACCCTCTTTCCTGTGCCGGTTTATCAGATCTGTTTATCAGACGTTTCAGCTTACTTCCCCCTGCGGGACAAAATCCCGGTATCTTGGAAGCTCTGAGTTCCTCTGAAAGACAACCTGTTCTTTTCTGTGAAAAGCTCTGTCCTTGAAAAGACTTGAACTTGATGCTTGATATTCTCAAGCATCTGTTGAGCTTTTGGCAACTTGTTTGCTGTGCTATCTTTCTATCAAGGTATCTATCCTCCTAGTGGTGATGACATCTGTCATTAGGAGGGAAGAGAGAGAGCAAAGCTGTTATAGTTAATTCTTTTACCAAGTTCCATGCAAATACATCTTAATTCCTTCTTCAAGAAATTTTGAATTTTACCTTCCATAGGGAACAAATAATCTTCTGTCTTCTCCAAGTTGAAGATCTTCCTTATGCTCGGGGCATACTCTTCAGGGAGTAAGTCCTTCAGAAAGCTCCCAGTCTAGTTGAACTGATATTTCATAGTCATCATCATTTCCATACCAAAGGAAGGTTAACAGGGTCTGTCTAAGGCCTGCTACAAGACTCCCGAGGCAGAAACCCAAAGCTCTTAGAGGCAGCTGCAGCATTGCTGTGGTCCAACCCCTGTTGCAGTTATTTAAGGAAACAAATTGAAACAGTGTGGGGGGGGGAAGGGGAAATTAAGATGTTCCCTTCCTACAGGTGTCCGCATCCCTGTGGTGGTTAAAGTACTCTTTCAGTACTTACTTTTCAGTACCCTCAGTAAGGAGTAAAAGTTAAGTTTTGTCCCT